GCTCAACTTTTAACCACTTAATGTGTTGTGATTAATAGTGGACTTCAGGAATTACACTGAGACACTAAGCATGTTGTTTACGTGGTTAGTAGTTCCAAGAGATAGAGTGAATGTTCGTGAATTCTCTACCAAAAAGAAATATTCCAGTTATTTCTATCAACACTAATGTTCCACGACACACTGAAGATTTTTGAATACAACACATTGATACATATTTAGGTCAAGAATTTTACAGTTGACTACATACTTACAATAGTAATTCTTTATTAAAACCAAAAAAATATATACGTATTTAACACATTCTAGAATCTATTTTATTTTTGTTGTTTTTTGACAAATTTGGGTCAAATTAAGTAAGTTTATTATAAAGTTTTATGGATATGATCAATTTGTTTTTGGTTTAAAGTTGAGTTTCAAGTAAATAATGAACGTGTTACAGAAGTAATACATTACCAGTAGTTTGCCGAGAGCTGAAATGCACAATAATGTTGTCTTTGTCTTTTAACTTATCTTAATTACTATATGAATATTTTAACTTTTTGAGATATGAAGTTTTCATAACCATATCTTCAAACTTCTCTAAGTTTTCAATTATTGCACCTTGAAGTTTTCTTCTTTTCTAAATTCTCCCTTTTCAATTTAAAAGAAAATAAATTATTCTTCATTTACTAAAAACATTTATTACACATTTATTAGTGGAATGTTTGTCTTTCTTGTGTTGAATGATCTTATCGTAACTTATGGGTAATTAAGTGATTAAGATCACATGCATCCCTTGTAATGTGTGTTTGTTATTTCTTTAAACTTTTACTATTGATCAATAATGTTTTGTACCTGTAACATAATGAACTATTAACAAACTGATGTTATTGTGTTTTTTGGCTCCCAAACTTCTGTGCATTTTGAGGCATCATATCTGTTAACTATAAAGGTAAGGTATTCTGATTCATTGGTGTAACTTTTTTTACTGTTTAGGAGAGAAAACTGTAGTTTATTGAGTTTTGTTGTATGGAAGTATTTCATAGTTACTTGTTAATAGGGATTGTAGTGTAACAAGCAGCATTATTTGTAATTTAGTGTGGTAAATACTACAGTACTGAATTAGTACTGACATGTAGGCTCCATAATCTAATCTATAAACCTTATTATCTGTTGTAGACTCCAATATCAGATGTATAGACCCTATTATCTGTTGTAGACTCCAATATCAGATGTATAGACTCTGTTATCTGTTGTATAAACTTCATTATCAGATGTATAGACCCTATTATCTGTTGTAGACTCCATTATCAGATGTATAAACTCTATTATCTGTTGTAGACTCCAATATTAGATATATAGACTCTATTATCTGTTGTAGACTCCATTATCAGATATATAGACTATTATCTGTTGTAGACTCCGTTATCAGATGTATAGACCCTATTATCTGTTGTAGACTCCATTATCAGATGTATAGACTCTATTATCTGTTGTAGACTCCATTATCAGATGTATAGACTCTATTATCTGTTGTAGACTCCAATATCAGATATATAGACCCTATTATCTGTTGTAGACTCCGTTATCAGATGTATAGACTCTATTATCTGTTGTAGACTCCAATATCAGATGTATAGACTCTATTATCTGTTGTAGACTCCATTATCAGATGTATAGACTCTATTATCTGTTGTAGACTCCGTTATCAGATGTATAGACCCTATTATCTGTTGTAGACTCCAATATTAGATATATAGACTCTGTTATCTGTTGTGGACTCCATTATCAGATGTATAGATTCTATTATCTGTTGTAGACTCCATTATCAGATGTATAGACCCTATTATCTGTTGTAGACTCCATTATCAGATGTATAGACCCTATTATCTGTTGTAGACTCCATTATCAGATGTATAGACTTTGTTATCTGTTGTATA